GTTGCCTGTGCCTCGAGTATCAAATAGGAAAACATCAATTTTATTCCGCAGATATGGTAATTTTTGTATTCTGTGTTATTCTACATAATGCTGTTGCTTGTTACTGTCGCTATTCTTTCGTCTTTAATTATTTTTTGGTGTCTACTTTTTTGTCTTTTTATAATCTGCTTAAGTTCATGTACGACAAGTTTCAGGAAGTTTTGCGTAGCTGTTCGTTATTAATGAGGGCGGTGAATAAAGCAGTTTCTGCTTATTGGTTGACAAAAATACTTTGGAAATACAAATAAAACTGTATTTAGATTTGTAAAAAAGTATAACTGGGAAATACCTTAAAAAAAAGATGAATAAGGGTAATGCATAGAAAAGACAATAAAAAATGAATAATACTATATTATAACGAGCTTTTCAATCGTTTGTGTTTTGATCCATCTTGTATCAAAGATTATCCCGAATTTCAATATAATAAATATTACAAATTAATAAAATTTGTATATATATAGTAACTATTATTACTCTTCACAGTGGTATTAAAACAAATTTTACAAACGTACGTATTCGATTAATCGTGAGAATTATCGATTGTGAAAGACAGTAATGAGCCCACAATTGACATAATGATAGACATTATATATATAGATATATACCTCGATTTACACTGCCCGATACATACTTGAAAGTATATATAATATAAAACAATTAAACCTGTCATTACTTATTAAGAATTTTAGGACATTCACGTTTAAAAGCGTATTTAATGCTTATATTGTAATTATTATAACACCCCTTACAAGGTTTTACAAACAAAATTTGCCTGAACAAGCTCTTTAAAAATTCTTTAAATATGTAATATACTCATAATCGAACATTTTTAAAAATGATCGATTGTGAAAGACATCAATTAGTGCACACCTATCGATTAAAGTATATTATGTGTGCTCGCAAAATCGTTTTTTATTTTATTTGGCTTTGCCTTTGTTATTTGTAAAATTTAAAAATCAAGGCTAACTGGCTATATATATATATTTTATATTATATATTTACTCATGTAGGATAATTTGTGAAGATTATCCATTGAATCGATTAAAGTAACTCGCAAAATCGATTTATTAATTATCTTTATCTCTCTAATTTGCCAAAAATATTTAACCTAGCCTAGCTTGTTCTAGTTACTCAGCATTTAAGCCTGATCAAGAATATATATCTATATATATATCCGACTTATACATTTACAAGGGTATAATGATATTTTGAGTCAGATTGTGTTAATCATTTTGTATACACCTGTCGATGAATTTCAACATTTTATAGTAATTCCCACGCTTATAATAAACGTATACTGAATTTGATTTCTTACATGACTCATACGCCACGTAAGCCGCTTATACGTTGTGTCTGAAATTGATGCCCAAATTGAAAGCTGAAATGTATAAAGCAAAACTGAACATTGTTTATATTTGACAGCCTATGCTCAAGTCTGTTTAAATTGACAATTACATAAATACATCAAATCAGCAGCTGTAAAATGTGTGGTGACAATTCACATTTCGGCCTTAAACTCGACCCAAGGTTGTGTCTCGGCGCCCAATAAGGAAAAACAAAAACACGATTTAAAAAAAAAACCAATCGAATAAAAATGCGTTAAATGTCTACGCAGTGTCTGCGATCGATCATAAAAAGTCATTAAACTGCCGAATTGATATGATTTCCCAGTTGGCGGCTGCTCGAAAATCAGCACCTTTTTTTTGGGCTTGGCTTGGTTTTTTTATATATCGCTTTTTTCGAACCGGTTCAATTTGCTGAGCTATTTGGAATGCCAATTGTAAGTGGGGATTAAAGCTTTTATAAGGCAGCTATTCAGCCGATGTGAAGGGCAAGCCAATAATTCAGAGAATGTGAAAGGCTTATAGGAAAGAGAACGGCTATGATAAAATCAAGAAAGTGGGAAGAATTAATACTCTGTAAGACATTTGCCCTACGTTTTGTGAGAATAGTGAAGCTTGTAAATGATGAGTTTGATGAAAATGTTATTCGACCGATCGTTCCTATGGTAGCTATATAATATAGTGGTCCGATGTTGATAAGATTTTACATATCTGTTAGGAACGTAGTGAAACTTGTAAATATCGAGTTTGGGTAAGATATTTTCATAAAACGTTTACTGTACGTTCCTATGGCAGCTATAGCTGTACGATCCGGCCGCCTGCAACAGGAAGACGGACATATGCAAAGTGTCAAGGCGATGAGAGACTAGCTCGAGTAGAAACCGACAGACGGACAGATGGACATGGCTATATAAACTCGGCTGTTGATGCTTATCTAGAGTATATGGGATCGGAGATGCTTCCTTCTGCCTTTAAAGGAGAGTTCACTCTTATTATTGAGAAATAAGCGATGGAAAATGTTCTGTTCGAACTGAGTATAAGTTATGTAAAAGCTTACAATTCAATTAAGCTTTTATTAAAATTGCGCCAAGTGTAGCCTCTAAATAACTCATTAATGCAATACATTATGAGACGCAATCTAACGGCTGCCGGCTCTTGATAAACAACCAATTCAACGGTTGATTTGACAGGCTCGTAACATGAGCGGAACCCTGGCCCAAACGCGTGGCAAGCAATTTTATGCAACTGCAACACCATCCACAACGGCAGCAACAAATTGGCAACCTTCGCAGTTATGAAAAGCAATTGAAAAATCACTTCCTGTCGCAGCCGGAAATTGTTGCAGCTGCAAACGCGTCAAACTGACGGCCACGCGGCGTATGCGTAACGTGTGCATGTGCATAGGCAACGCACCTTGCCGCTGTCTGCAACCTGCACACGTTGCACGCTGTTCGCACTTGCAATTCATTGTCAATGGCTCGACGCTAACTCGCGCTAACCTTACATAACTGCAACAACAATATTTACTAGCCAAGTCGAGTGAACGGCTCAAAAGTGCAACAACTACAACAACCACAACAACAACAACATCGCATAATCAATTGCAGTTGCTGCTCAACAACAACAACAAAAACATGAAGTGTTTGCATATTTTGTTAACATTCGTCAACATTTTCCGGTTTACAACAGCGCACGCGCTTTCGGTCCAGCTTACAATTTAGCATGCGTGTGTGTGTGTGTGTGTGTGTGTGTGTGTATATGTGCGAGGGTCATTTCAAACATTCTTGTATATCAAAATAGAAAGTAAATCATATTTTAGTTTATAAATCTTAGTTAGACGTGCAAAGATAAAAAATAAAATAAATAAAAATAAAAACTAGAATATACCCTGTGTACACTTTCGCTATTTTTATATCATTATTAGTATTATTATTTTGTAATTATAACTTAAGATATGAGATTATTTATTTGAAACTAAGAACAACTTTTTTACTAGCGATTTTCTTAGGTTAAGCAAACTTTTTTTCCAACAGACTAATTAAAATGTTGTCGTTGGTAATATTCATGCTCGTACTCCATATTGGCTCTTAGGGATTGTACCCAGGGTATAAATTATAATATGTATTAAATAAATTAGGCTTAAAAAATAGTTAATATAATAATTTAATAAAAAACTCACGCTTGTTAAGATTCGTCTGAAAGCAAAAAATCTAAACTAATTTATTCACTTATATTTTAGTTTTTCATATTATATATATTTTTTGCATGCTCTTCTCTCTCTCTTCTGTTCTCTCGCTTCTCTTCTCTTCTCTTAACTAGTTTGACATTAAATTTGCATAATTTATGCACATTTTTTTTGTATTAATTTTGTGCGCCTCTCAAGCGATCAAAAAGCTTGCTTAAAAAGATTCCGCAGTCGTACTCTCTCAAAAACTCTTGCACTCTTTAGTTAATGAAACATGTGTGTATATATATGTTTATATGAAGCTTCTTAGTGCGTCATAAGCTGACTAATCGGTTAAAGCTAAAACACAAGAAATTTGTATATTTCGAGCAGGAGAAACCTAATCAAAATGGACTTGCAAATTGTTGAATGCCTTTCGAATATAAACAACAAATTTTGAAAAGATCTTTTGGCATCAACCCACGCTCTTAATTCTCAGCCGATGTTTGCTTTCAATTCTAAAAGCCATCCATTAATCTTATTTTTTCCGCTTTGGTTTTTTGTTTTTTTTTTTTTTGGTGTTACTTTTTAACAGTTAAAAGGGGTCTTCATCAACAAAAACTTAAAACTCAAATGATATATGATTGTTGTTGTTGTTGACTGTTCACAGTGGAGTCGCGCATGTTGCCAAAGTGTCTGGCACCGAGTGACAAAATATGCAAAAAAATAAAAATTAAATAAAAACAAAGAATGAGCTAAGAAAAAGACCTGGTAAAACAAAACATATGCTGAGCGACGATCTCTTTTGGCGGCATAAAGTAAAAGGCATTATATTCTTATTTATTTTTCGAAAGTCAACAAGAAAACGTAAGCGTAATATCCGAAGAACAAAAATTATTTGCGTGAGTTCTAAGCGAACAAATCGTAGTTTTTAATCAAACTCTTCAAACGAAATATATAAAATAACATATTAAAGATACACATTTAAATTATATTTTTTTTACTTTAAAATACTCTCTAAGTAGCACAAAAGCTACTTCTCACCATCTAATTTAAGCCATGGAAAATTTTCAAAAAGCCAGCCAAATATGAATATTTATTAACATATTTTTGTTAACTGTGAATTGCTTAACAGCTGTTAAAAAGAAGGCGCGCTACTTTTATAGATAGTTTTCAAGTGAAACCAATTAATTAAATGGTTATAGAAGTATTTAAGACGCTGTAAAGGATTGAAAAGCGCGCTGTTAACAGCATTATGTTATGTCCATTTTAACATTTGTTCAGTAACAGGAGAAACCGCTGTTATAGATAGAAGCTTACCAGCGCAATGTTATAGAACAATTTTCAATTAGGCTTAACAGCGTACTGTTAATAGCTCGCTGTTAGTCTTACTTTAACATAAACCCAAAAGATTGTTATTTTATTCTCTTTCTTTTTCTGCCTCGCTCTTGCAGCCATTCCCATTGGCAACTGGACACCGCCGGATATTGATTACAACGAACGCTTCTCATGGGAGGGCGCCACCGATATGAGCGCCAACTATCGGCTGGCTCTGCAGCGTGGCCTGCCCTTTCCCATACTCACCGTGGCCGAGTATTTTAGCTTGGGTCGCGAGGGTTTCTCCTGGGGTGGCCAGTATCGCGCCGCGGGCTACTTTGCCAGCATCATGCTGTGGGCCTCGCTTGCCTCGTGGCTGCTGATGAATCTGCTGCTGTTGGCGGTGCCGCGCTATGGCGCCTACCTCAAGGCACTAACCGGCGCGCTGCTCGTCTGCACCGCTGTGGGCTATCATTGCCTGTTGCCGCAACGGCCGTTGTGCATATTTCTGGAGGGCGGCCGCCTGGAGTTTCACTTTGGCTGGTGCTACTGGCTGGTCCTGGTTGCGGGTGAGCTCACAGTTAGGCCTCTGGCATGCCCGCCGCTTATGTGTTTTGTATTTTTAGGCATACTCTGCTTTATTGCCGGCGTGCTGATCTCGATTATTGATCTGGTCTGGCCGCACACATTCTCCACGGTGCTGGAGGTGTACTATGGCACACCTTACGATCGCCATGTCATCTTGGAGGAGTCGAGCGATGTGCGCTATCGCAAGCCGCGCAATAGTCGCGGCCTCGAGGATCCGCCGGGACTCGGTTCGCGCATATTGCGTCGCCTGAGCTCCAAGGCGCGCGATATGCAGCATGCCACAGCGCCGCGACGCAACAGTCCCCCCGGCGTCTCCAGCAGCGGCGTCGAGAATAAGGCATTTCAGGGCGATGCGCCCAAGAGTCCTTGGCGCCATCCCTTTCGACGCGCCCAACAGCTGCCGCACAGCGCACAGCACCCGCACTCATCGCACGCGTCGCTGCATCATGCCCAGCAGCCGCATCAGCATCATCATCAGCAGCAGCTGCAGTTTGTGGGCGGCGGTCCGGTGGTGACACATCCCATGCACCATATGCAGCGCACCCTGTCGCAGGACTCGGGCTCCAGCATAGCCTCGGCTGCGGTGCAAATTTCGCCGCTGCATAAACATGCGATGGCGCGAATGTTGCCGTAAGTAGCATATGAATTGATCGTCATATAGATACCCTAACAAAATCATCACCTTATATTTCCTCAGTAATCCGCCCGTGGAGCGCGTCCGCGACATGGATCACTGGTGAAGTCCAGTGGGAGCACACTGAATAGCTCCTTGAACGAATTCTTGACAATTCAACAAACTTTTATTGACAACAACAAAAACAAAACAAAAAAATGCTACAAAACAATTTGTGATAATTTCTTAATTTAAAAGCAAAGAAAAGGAAACTTAAAAATTGACAAGATCGCATAATTTACCTGACGTACTTATAAAAGAAAATCAAATGCACTTAACTTTAATTAAATTATTTTAAATATATAAGTTAAACAAAATTTAATTTGTAAACCTATCGATAAATTTATCTGAGACGTGATGTTCACTTGTGATAGGATAAGATAAATCTGCCACACGACGGACACAGAATGCGTGCATTTTAGTTATGTTATTATAAATCAATACGATTCGGATAAATTCAATTATGTCTTAAATGAATTCCATGCCAGTCTATGTAACGATTAGCTTAAAAACAAAGGCAAAACAACTATTATAAAATGCGTGTAAACTAAGTTTTTAAGTTATGACAATGTTTTAAAATATATCTATATGTATAGCAGCAAATGCAACGAACTAAATTCAAGCTATTATATAAAAACCTAGACTTTTAAACAGAGTCTGTGCCTAGCTTAAGTCGCTGGCCCTATATGTATATATGCAGTCAACAAATCTAGTCCACGTGAAAAGATTTATGTATATACCGTTTATATATATCTAAATGCTCAACCATCTCTGAACCCGCCCACAAGCTGTTCTCTTAATCCATGTTTAAACTTCGTATTTGTGCAGGTAAGCATCTTACTTTGATCCAAGTTTAACGTCCCCCTAATACACTAACAAAATAAAAATAAATTAATTTTATAACTTTAGAAAAACTCACTTTAAACACAATTTTTAAGCATTTAAAAAATATAAATATATTTTACTTCACAAATCTAAAACTCATTTCAAAATTTCAGCATGTAAAACTAAAAGCATTTGGAAAATCAAAAAATCAAAGTCATTGGAAACATTTTCATCAAAACTAATTAAACAATATACAAATCATTATTATCATAAATCAACATTATATGGGGTGAGTCATACATTATAGTTATTATTTTAATATAAAGAAGAAGATCGATTGCAGACTTCAATTTGTATGCCCTTGTTAAGGGTATTAACATTTGGTCATGAGACGCATAGCGCATAGAACCCCATAAAGATATCTTGACTCAAGATTTATTAGTTATTCTATTTGATTTCTATTATTAACCAAATCTTCTTAATATTAAGGTCCTTTTTGATATACTTTGCTCCTTTCATATATGCAAAATCTTATCAACATCGGACAACTATATATATATAATAGCGGCAGCTATATATAGGAACAATCAGCCGAAAAATAGGTTCTTATACCCTTGCAGAGGGTATTAAATTTTTTTTCTTTTTTATTAAGATACCCGACCAAACTCGGGATTTATTGGTTCCACTATTGCTTCCATATATATGCAAAATCGTTTAAACAGCGGACAACTATATATAATAGGTAATGCCATAGGAAAAATCGTTCGACAAGTAGGTTCCTTTAAGGCAAGATACTCTCTTTTCCAAGATATTTTCATTAAATTCAGCATTTACGAGCTTCACTATTCTCACATATCAGCAGAATCGTAAGGCAAATGTCTACAAGGGTATTATATCTTCGGCGTCCCCCATTTATTCCTACTTTCTCGTTTATTATACATATTTCCACTATAATTATATGCACCGATAACCTCTTTTTAATTTCTTTCTTCTTTTAATTACACTCAAAATTGATCATTGGGTTTTTTTTAAAAAAACAATTATATTGTTATCGACTTATCAACTGATATGCCAAATAGCCGAAGCGAAGTCCAAAAACCCACACCTGAAATAGTCTAAAATATAGGAATAAACAGATATATAATTTCTTTGGTAACATTTGACAACATATAACGGCAAAGATATTGTACAACTTGGGTAAAATCTTCCGCAGTTTGAAAGTAACTGTATTTTATTCACAATTTTAGAGTCCCTTAGAATCAAGTACTTTTTCTTGATATTTCGATTGAACAATTTTTATTAATTTTTTTTATTTACTTTTTCATGTTCTTTATAACTCCGCATAGATATTACATAATTTCGATGCACTTATCGATGTTTGGCAAAAAGTCATTATAGCTCTGCTCCACCTCTTTGGTGGCATTGAGAAAACAGCTTTCCGTTTCGGCTGGCAGCTTGGCGATCAGCTTCAGGGTGGTGTTTATCTTATAGGTCAGTTTCATGATGGCCTCAAACAGACCCAAGAAGCACTTGCCTGAGGTCATTTTGCCATCCTCCTCATCAGCGCAAATTGTGCTATTCAGATGTATGATATCCTCGCATAGGGCTATAATGCTCTTGCAGCTCTTGACAATTTTGGCAATATCCTTGGGTATAGCCGTGCCGCAGGCATCGATGGCATCCACATAGTTGGTCGTCGCAAGCAGCACCTCAATCACCTCTTTGATGGTGCAATTAACGCCACGCAACGTGGTCAGCGCCTTCTTCAGGGCCTTCTCCACGGACTTGATGAAGCCATAGGCCTCCACCTCCTCAAAGTCAAACGAATCGGCATCGCTGGCCTAAAATTAACCAGAGAGTTACTCGGGTAAACCCAATATTAACTGCTAGATTCCACTGACCGATGAGCCCAGAAGACAGCTGCCGGAGACGAGCAGCAACAGGCAAAGAGTTGTAGTTCTCATACTGGGTATATCACGTTGAATGTCTGTTGGGCAACGACATTTTTCGCTTTTAAAGAACTTGTCTATCTCTCGAGTGGTTTCATTGTTCACTCTGGTTTGTTCTATTTTTGGTTTATTCAAATTTAGTTATTTCTTCTTTGATAAGATTCCCAAATTAATTAGGCAAGCTTATGAGCAGCCGCAGCAAGAGAATTTCCTTTATTTGTTGTTTGCTTATCAAGAAAAGAGCAATAATAGCTCAATTTTCGCTGGTTTAATTTGAATAAATTGCAATCTACAAATAATTTAACAAATATAAAATAAATAACTGGTTTAGTCGGGAGCTCCCGACCAGGGGATACCCTGAACTCTCTTATTCCAACATCAATTGCAGAGAAAAAAAAGCGAATTAAAATAGCAGCACAGAAAACAATACAATCGAAATTGCAATGCTGTTGCTAGAATTCTATGAAGACGCGCAGAACTTGTGTGTGTAAATGTATACAGACATTCTTGGAACTTGCGCTTGCTGCCGCTGATACGAGGAATAGGTTTTGTATTTCTTAACCAATGTTGATGAAATTTTCTGCAGTACATTTTAATGTGCCATAGAATATTTGTGTATTCTCAAAAAGTCAATTGCATTAAAATTGTGGCTTAAATTGGTGGCCTATACAAGTTGGTTTATTAGTTTGGTTTATAGCTATGAGGTGGTAGCGGGGAGGGGTGATAGCTATAAAATGAAATATTCTTGGTATACATACTATTCTAGAAGCTATGTGTCAATTTTGGTGGCCCTAGCTCTTATTATTTACCAAAATTGCTCAAAAAACTGGATTTCGATATCGTTTTAAATCGATTGCGTGGAAACGGAGTAAGTTTTCGATTATCGGAAACAAACTCGTACTGCGCATGGATTAGGAGCACCTACAGCTAGGTCCTAGTCTCTAGCTCTTATAGGTTCTGAGAACCTTGCGTTCATACGTACGAGCAGACAGACGGGCATGGCTAGATCGGTTCGGCTGTTGATGCTGATCAAGAATATATGTACATATGTACCTTATGGGGTCGGAGATGCTTCCTTCTGCCTGTTACATACATTTGCACAAATACATAATACCCTTTTTACCCACTTTCAATGGGTTCAGGGTATAAAAATAAACAGATATCAACTATTTTAGTTGCATTTTATATATTTGCTCTTGAAAATATATTTTTGACTAGTATAAAGTAATACTCGGTTAACAAAGTATACAAATTATTCAACTTCGATAAAATCTCCCACAGTTTGAAAGTACCTGTCTCTTGTTTACAGTTTTAGATTCCCTTAAAATCAAGTGTCGATTGTAATATTTTCATGTTCTTTATAATTCCGCTCATATATTACATTTCCTCGATACACTTATCGATGTTTGGCAAAAAGTCATTATAGCTCTGCTCCACCTCTTTGGTGGCATCGAGAAAACAGCTTTCCGTATCGGCTGGCAGCTTGGCGATCAGCTTCAGGGTGGTGTTTATCTTATAGGTCAGTTTCATGATGGCCTCAAACAGACCCAAGAAGCACTTGCCTGAGGTCATTTTGCCATCCTCCTCATCAGCGCAAATTGTGCTGTTCAGATGAATGATATCCTCGCATAGGGCTATAATGCTCTTGCAGTTCTTGACAATTTTGGCAATATCCTTGGGTATAGCCGTGCCGCAGGCATCGATGGCATCCACATAGTTGGTCGTCGCAAGCAGCACCTCAATCACCTCTTTGATGGTGCAATTAACGCCACGCACCGTGGTCAGCGCCTTCTTGAGGGCCTTCTCCACAGACTTGATGAAGCCATAGGCCTCCACCTCCTCAAAGTCAAACGAATCGGCATCGCTGGCCTGAAATTTATCAGAGAGTTACTCGGATAAACCCAATATTAAGTGCTAGAATCCACTGACCGATGAGCCCAGAAGACAGCTGCCGGAGACGAGCAGCAACAGGCAAAGAGTTGTAGTTCTCATACTGGGTATATCACGTTGAATGTCTGTTGGGCAACGACATTTTCCGCTTTTAAAGAACTCGTATATCTCTCTGCGGGATCTATCAGTCGAGTGGTTTCATTGTTCACTCTGATTTGTTATATTTTTGTTCCATTAAAATTTAATTTCTTTGATTAGATTTCTAAAATAATCAGCCAAGTTTATGAGCACCCGCAGCAAGACATACAAGTGTCTCAATTTCTTTTGCTAGTTATTTGCTTATCAAGAAAAGAGCTCAATATTAACTCAATTGTCGCTGGTTTAATTTTGCTGAATTGCAATCTAAAAATAGTTAGGGAATACCCTGAACCCTCTTTTAACAACACCAAACTTTAGCAGTAAAAAAAAAAATTAAAAAAAAAAGTGCCCGCGATAGGACTCGAACTCGTAACAGACCACACCGCCTGCAACCGCCACTACTGAGCAGGCACATTAACAACTCAGCCTTGATGAGAAAAAAACGAATAAGGAAAGCAGCACAGAAAACATTGCAACCGCAGTTGCTGCATTGCACAGAAATTGTTGCAATTTGCGCTTGCTGGCCCAAATTTCAAGTACCTTTTATAGGTTCTGAGATCCTTGCGTTCATACATACGAACGGACGGACAGACACACGCACATGGCAAGATCGACTCGGCTATTGATGCTGATCAAGAATATATATACTTACTTTATGAGGTCGGAGATGCTTTCTTCTGCCTGTTCCATACATTTGCACAAATACATCGTACTCCTTTAACCCATTTTAAATGGGTTCAGGGTATACATACTTTATAAAAAGAATTTTACAAATGTTGAATATTTTTGACAAGTTAGTTAATGAA